CCCCCCGTCATGCCTCGGCCGCAGCCCACCCCAGCCCCGCACTCACCTGGGGCAGCCGGGGCTCCTCCTGCCCTGGGGGGCTGCCGAGCCCAGGGCTGTCACTGCCGGAGCCCCCCGGCTCCTCCAGCCTGGACAGAGCATCCCGCAGGTCCTGGACCTGCGCCGAGCATGGGGCTGAGCCGCGGGAGCCGCTCTGGTGGCACCCCAAGGGCTGAACCGGGGGCAGTGCCCCCCTCCCCCCTTTTGCCGTGTCCCCAGCACCCACCTTCTGCTGCAGCCGGTCGCGGTCCCCCTGCAGCGCCCGCAGCGAGGTGGTCACCCGGTTCAGCTCCTCGTCCCGGCGCCCCAGGGCTGCCCGCAGTGCCGCGTTCCTCGCCGATGCCGCCGCCACCGCTGCCTCCTCCACTGGCAGCCCCTCGCCTGCTCCCTCCTCCAGGCCCCGGCACGTCGTCCTCCCGGCCCAGCCCGGTGTCCAATCCAGCTGCTCCAGGCTCTGGGAATACAGGGCCGGTCAGCCAGCGCCCATCCCGTTGGCGTCTGGGCTGACCGTGCCGGTGTGCCTCACCTTGGCTGCCCGCGTCCACTCCTCGCCGGGCAAAGGCTGCGCCGGTGCCCACCGGTGCCGGGAGAAGACGGCGCGCTCCAGCGAGCTCACGGCGTGCTGCAGGTCTGCGAAGAGGTCGGGGCCGTGGGCTGGGGAGAGGGAGAGCGGCTGGGGTCAGGTCCCTACAGCAGGCAGCCAGCTGCCGGCACGGCACAGCATGGCACGGCACAGCACGGCACGGCGCACCCACCTTCCAGGCTGCTGGCGGCGTCGCGCGTGCCGTCGATGCGCCGGGGCTGTGGGTTGGCAGCAGGGAGGCTGGCGGTGCCCTCCCAGCCCTCCTCATCCTCCCTGTGGGGCGGTGAAGACCAGAGATGGAGGGGGCCGGACGGTGACAGCCCCCGGTACCCCACAGCCACCGCGTGCCAGTACCTGCCCATGCGGCGCTGCAGCTGCTCGGCTCTCCGGTGCAGCCGGGCCACCGTCGTCAGCAGCCCAGCAATGCGCTCCTCATAACACAGGATGTCGTCGGCGTCCCCCGCCATGTCCTCCTCATCATCCTCATCCTCGTCTTCATCCTCCTCCTCGCCCGGTGGGGGCTGCGGGGGCTGTGGGGAGCAGAGGCGACCGCCCGTCGCGGCCCCGGCCGGCACCAGGGGACGGAAGGGTTGACATCCGCCGGGATTTGCCAGGATGGGGATGAGGTTTGGGCACCAGCTGACCGGCCGCAGCGCCTTGCTCGGCACAGTGGGCAGGACCCGGCACTGCCGCACCATCGCCTACCGGAGCCTGGCACAGGGACCGGGTGTGCCCGTGGCCGGGGGATGCCCGTGGGGGGCACAAGGAGGCCCCTGGCCACATGGGACCAACCCCTGGCAGCACCCATCCCGCGGGACACCCCACTTGCCTTCTCCATCCCGGCCGCCTCCTGCCCACGACGCCCCGCGCCAGCCAGCGCCCGTTCCTGGGGCTTGTCCCGGTTCCGCAGCCGGGGCTCCCGGCACGTCCCGGCACGTTCCGGCTACGCCGCCGGCCCCCTGCCCTGGGCCTTTCCCCGTCCTTGTTCCTGCCGAGATTTCCTCTTCCTCGGCAGCCCCGGCGCAACCTCTTGTGCTTAACCGTTGCGCTGCCCCATGCCCGGGCGGGCGGCGCAGCCATCTTGGGGGGCTCTGCCCCCCAACATCGTCCTTCCCTGCTCTGCCCCATGGCACCTCAGCCCCCCACCGGACCCTCCCCGTGTGCCCGGGCTCCCTCGCACCCAGGCGGGTGGATGCACCCAGCTTTGCGTCCTTGAGCATCCCCTGGAGTTTGGGGGGCGGGGGGGGGGGCAGGCAGAACACTTGGGGGGGTGCATGAGAATTTGGGGTGCTAGGAGGCATTGCATGGGGTGCTGGGGTGTGCCGTGGGAGGGAGCCAGCCCAGGGGTGCCGTGGGCAGCGCGTGGGTGTTTAGGTGCTGGAGGGTGGTGTTTGGGGTGCAAAGGGGTGCTGCAGGGGTATTTGGGGTGCGGGGGGGGCAGTGTGTGGGTGCTGGAGGGTGCTGCGGGGGTGTTCGGAGTGCTGGGATGGAGCAGGGATATTTGGGGTGCAGAGGGATGGTGCATGGGTGTAGGGGGGTGTGTTTGAGGATTTGGGGTGCAGGGGGCGGTGCATGGGTGCAGGAGGGTGTGCGTGGATATTTGGGGTGCAGAGGGGATGGTGCGGGGGGGTGCGCGTGGATATTTGGGGTGCAGAGGGATG